TTTGTACAGGGACCCAAAAAAAAGTAGGCGATTCATGGCAAGCAGACAAAGAAACGACAGGCAGTAGCCTTATCAACCAAAAAGCCAACTGAAAAGAAAATATGATGGATTCACGGTGGGAATGGTGGGGGCAGAGGACAGACCCATGTGTGTCTTGTGTCTTAAACCGCTGGCAACAGACGGCATGAGACCCAACAAATTAAGAAGACTTTCAGAGACGTTAATAAGCCACTCGACTTTAAAAGAAAGCTGGCAGAAAACCGTCGGCAGAAAAATTGCATGGTAAAATCTGCATCAGTGGACAGCAAAGCAAAAATGGCTTCATTCAAAGTTGCATACAGAATTGCACAGTGCAAAAATCACACACAATTGCTGAGCAGCTCATTCTCCCTGTAACTGTAGACATGGTGTCGATTTATGATACAGTTGCACTTATATTTTATCTGTTTTGAACTTTGTGTTATTTAATATTAAAATAAATTTGAAATTTTAAAATTGGCTGATTTCGTTATTGACAAGTGGGGCTTGAAAATTCGCCCACCCTCTTAAGTGGGGAATGACAGAAAATGTTTGAGAACCATTGGCTTAGACTGAGACAAATGTTCCTAATAAACTGGCTGTATAAGCAGTGGGAAAAAACATCTTATTGATCAATAAGAATAACTCAAAAATAATGAAAACAGTTCAACTGTTCTGTTAAATGTTGATTTCAGATAACCGACCTCCAGCAGCAGCTCAAAGACCAGACTGACAGGTCTGGTAACCTATCAGAGCAGCTCAACACCATGAAGTCCCGCCTCCAGGACCTGGAGGGCCAATCAGAAGAGAAGAGCAAAACTGTCAATAGTCTAACACAAGAAGTGGAGCGTCTCAGACAGGATGTCAAGGTTCTTTGCTTTTTTTTTTCTCATTGGTTGACTGAGGTTGTAGTAGGCTGATCACTTTGACTTATGTTATTAATCAGGCTGAGTGTCCAGATATCTTTGAGATCAGTTATGTTTAAAGCATGTCATCAGAGCTGAGTTTAATTCAGATATGATGAAGAAGCTTTATTTATTGTCATTGTAACACAACGAAATCATGCTTGCAGCAGAGGGCCACGGGCCGCCATCACGGGCCCAAGGACACTTCGACATGCTCTACCCACCCCACCACTGTCCCCTCCCCTAAATCATGACTATGATTTAGTCATAAGCAAGTGTTAACCATTAAACTCACAATATGATACAGTGATTGATGGACTGATTGATTGTTTCAGGAGGAGGAGGGCTGCAGCAGCAGTACTTTCCATGCTGCCATGGAGGAGCTGAGGAAGGAGAGTCATGCAGCGCTGCAGAGATCAGCTCAGAAATCAAAACAGATCCAGGATCTGCAGAGAGAAAAACACCAGCTGGAGGAAGCTCTGACTCACAGGTAGACAGCACGTGGCTGATCTGTTACTGTACTGTTTGTAATCAGGGTCTATTGATCAGTATACAGAACCATCAGGTGACAAATAACTGCTGATTCAGAATATCCTCTGTCCTTGTCTCATCCCTTTTATCCTTTGTTCTTGTCCACTATTCTTTTCCACAAATAACTGCTGATTCAGAATATCCTTTGTCCTTGTCTCAACCCTTTTATCCTTTGTTCTTTTCCACTATTCTTTTCTCCTCGTCTTCTCTTCCTCACTTGTCCTTCCATTGCATCTTTGTCCCGCCCATGAAAAATGCAAGGAAGACATGTTGGGAGAGGGGACTACTAGAAGAAACGCGTTAACATCCCCTTATTAGAAATCAGTTTATGATTGGATGCTTCACATGGAGGAAAGAACGTCTCATGTCAATTTAAAGACCTTTCCTCGGTTCCTCTCTCCTTGCAGTTTCTTCTCACATCTTACTTGGTGGAACTATGACACAAGGAGAAGGCACAAGTGAGGGAAGCATGGATACAATTAGGGGAACTGGAATTCATATATTGTTTCATCACCTCTCCTTCCCCCTGCAGTGAGAGCAAATGTGTTCAGCTCATGGAGGAGTTAGCCAATCAGAAAGCAGAATTCTCCCATCAGCTGCAGAGCCTGAGGGCGGAGCTTGAGTTGGAGCATGGAGCTCTGCGAGGGAGACTGGAGGAGATGGCGAGAACAGAGGAGGAGCAGAGGCGAGAGGAGCAGAGAGAGAAACAAGGTGAGAGGAGGAATAAAATCAGTCCTCGGTGCAGCAAGTGATGTTTTGCACCAAGTTGAATGCAGCGTCATACAGGTTTTGCACTGGTACCAGACCTCCAGACAGCTCGGATCAACAATAACATTAAAACGAAGGTGCTGCCCACTCTACGCACTGTAACCAAACAAAAGTCCAAGAATTACTTGTAAATTTGTTCATATTCAACATGAAACTTAACGGGTGTTTCTTCACGTCCTTACCACTAGTGTTTTAACAGTCTGGATGTAACACAGGTCTTAAATAACTTTCAATAGGGTTTAAAATGGGTCTTAAATTGAACTTGGTGAAACCCTGTGAGGCGGTGACTCCAGGACGGGCAGCTAACCAAACTACAGATGTAAAGTAGACCTGAAGCTCACACACACACATGAACAATAGCAGAGTCTGCTACATCACAGGAACTCAACATGGTGTCTGGGTTGGACACAGACTGATCACTGACCAGCTGCACGTAGATGCAGCTTTTTCTGTAGGAATGATGTATTTCCTCTAAATACTGAATGCAGATACGCCACTGAAGCGCTAATACAGAAATGTCTATGTATGACTTGGAGCTGAAAGCAGCACCAGCTCCAATCAGTTTCTGCTCTTGTGTAATCTGTCTCTTTTTGTGTCAGAGCTGCATGATGTCCTGATGGAGAAGGAGCGACTTCTACAAGAAAGTCACAAACAGGTGGAGGCTCTGAAACAAGGTAACCAGGTCAGGTGCAACAGGAGAGGATGCCTTGTTGATGATTTGAGATGAATCTCAACTCTGTTTCCTGTGTCAGAGCTGGAGCATCTGAAGAAGGACCTGCAAAGAAGGAAGGAGGAGGAAGAGAAGGAGAACAGGGTGGAGGAGAAGAAGGTGTCAGTGGTGGAGGAGCTGAAGAAGGAACTCCAGAGATTCCAGGAGAGGAGGGGGAGAGCACAGGAAGAGGAGGAGGGAGAGTTTGAGGCGGTGCGGAGAGAAGTGGAGAGACTCCAGAGGCTGAAGGAGGAGAGGGAAAACAGCACTCAGGTCAGTCTGCAGCACAGCCACTCACATTGTGGAGGGTTTCAGTCATTTTGTGCCTGTGTTCAGAGTCTGGACGTTTGCACAGGCTTTATGTGACATCATGTTTGGTTTCCTCCAAAACAGACCTTATTAAAATGTGTTAAACTGAAGGAACAACAGATGAATCAACTGACAGGAAGTTAATCACCCAAACTTGATTGTTTACTGTACTGATCAATTAACTGAGAAAATCTTCCTAACCTCAGGCAGAATCACATGATGCAGAGATGTCAGCTGGAGGTTGTTTTCACTCGGACTAATAACCTCAGCTGTAAAACAGAAGTATGCGTTATTGAAACGGTTTAAAACAAGTAGCCTGGATGTGAGCAGTCTTTCAGGAGCTGTGACCGCTTTGACCTCTACACTCTTGGTTGTTTGTACTCCGCAGAGGTGTGGTGGACATGTCCTTCATCCAGAAGAGGAGGTGCACGGTTCTGTTCTGAGGTCCAACATGGCCAACAGGAAGAGAATCACCGGCCGGAAGAGTTTCAGCTGCGAGGTGGAGGTGTGAGTCCTTGTGTTATTAGTGGAGGTGTGTGTGTGTGTGTGTGTGTGTGAGTGAGAGGCCTGTATTGTTTTGTACTGCATGAGCAGCTAGCTGAGTAGTGTGAACAGAGGCGAGATCAGTGACTTGTCTTCCTTCAGACTCTGTGCACAGTGTGTTCTCAGCCTGTGGAGCTGTATGTTGAAAACAGACGGGCTCACGGGTTTTCTGAGGAGGAAACCTGCCACCCAGTGCAGTGGTGTGGCTTGTTAATTATTAAACCATCACTTTTACATTCAGTGATTTTAGTTTATTTGGATGAAGATTATTTGGTGTGTCTTCATGTCTTTGTTGTCCAGTCTTCACACCTTCAATGAGCTGCGGAGTGTTCAAACATGGCTTTAGGGTTCCGGTTTAGGCTATGGGATGCATGCATTACGTCAGTGAATGTCCTCACAGCTCTAGCAAAAATGTGTGTGTGTGTGTTGCAGGACCTGGTGTTCAATGAGAACAAGAGAAGTAAAGTGAGAAGAAACAAAAAACAGGTGAGAGATAAAAGAAAAGATGCACACAGAGGCTGTAAGCTGGTCAGACATCTGATTACATTTCCTCTGGTGAAGGACAAGAAAGACGGGACTCTTCAGAAGATCGGAGAACTGATCCACAGCTCGCCGTCCATCCTCAGCACCAAAGGTCGGTGTGTGTGTGTGTGTTTGTCCTGAGTCAGGGCACATGTTGCCATTGGGAGCATCACCTCCATGTTTCCAGTGACAGTGAAACTGAAGTGAAGGTCCTCAGCCTCTAAAGACTTGTCTGAAAAGAATGATGAACAGTAACATGTTCTCTGTAGTCTGGATGTCAACTTCATCAAACGCCATCATTTCTGTCAGTGTCATCAGAAACCTGAACATGTGATGCTGTAGCAGCTCAGGCTGGACTGACACAGACGTTTGTCCTAGGTTAAAACATCACAAGATGGCTGTGCTGGTCAGGGGGTGCGGGGTTGCTGAGACAGTGAGATACGATCCAGGAAGTTGAGCTGGATGAGCAGATTATACTTGAGATAAACAGCAGAAATAAAGTTCACGTTACACACTAACCCACCAGGAATGTGACTGGCCAGCACAGCCCCTTGTCGTGTTTCATCATCGCGTTGCAGATAAAACTGAGCTGGACAGCTAAAATGAACTGAAGAGTTTTTAGTTTAATGATGTATGACAGTATTTTCTGCAAGAAGGGCCGAGCTTTTTCAGTCAGTGTGAATGAGGCTTAACAGGTCATCAAGATGGAGGCCCACTATCCAGCCCGTGTAGGTGGGGTGTTGTCCCTCTGTCGGTACACAGCTCAGACTGTGAACAGGAGGATTTAATGGAGCTTTTTTTAAAAATACAGTGTAATGAAGTATAGATCTGTTTTTTCAAAACAGTTTGTTTCTAAGAAGCCAGCTAAAATGAACTGAAGAGTTTTTAGTTTAATGATGTATGACAGTATTTTCTGCACATGGAGGTTTGACCATCTACCACTGTGGTGGTTATTTGAACCCGCCATCACACAGCAGGGGGCGCCGCTTCTCACTCGCGTCGTCCTCTGACAGCAGCAGATCTGTGGCTCTTTCGGTCTGAAGTTTGTTTGACCTTTTCAGGTCATCGTGACGTGTCAGTGACATAAGCATAGATAGTGCTGAATTAAAAGACTTGACGGTTCAGTTTTGTGGTGTTCATTATCCCGTTATCTCTGTGCAGCTAAAACCACCATCGGACTGGTCAACGGACACTCGGTGGAGAAGGAGCCAGTTACCGTGGCAACCAAACCCCAAAGAGGACGGAGGAAGCTTTACAAGACGGAGGCTTCGTCTCCGATGCTCAACTCTCCACACTTGGTGAGACAGTGTGTCTGTTTGTCTTTGTGAGGACGTTTATACAAAGTAAGAACATTGTTTGTTTGTTTTTATTGTCTGTAAAAGTGAAAATGTTTTTATAAAATGGAATACCAAAATGTTGTGTTTAATGTGAGGTGTTTGCAGAGAGAGAACATTTTGACACAAGAAACTTTTGCAAGGGGGGGAAAATAAAAATTATGACTTTTGTTTCAGATTTCAGAAGCAGCACAGGACGAAAAGGAGAGCGATCACCTCATCATTAAACGACAGCTGCGTTCTAAAACCTGCAGGAAGTGACATTGTCATCTTGTGACGACACTACACTGTAAGACGTGATCTTTAGCTGGTTCTAGAGCTTCTCAGGACACCAGGACTAAAACCTCCCAAACTTCATCTTCTGTGAATCTGAAGAAGTGTTTTATATTTTTATTATTATTAGTTTTTTAGGATTTTAGCTTAGTTTGTGGTTTCAGGGCTTTTTTTTATGTAAGGGATCAATAAAATGAGAGAATGATGCAACAATCTTTTTCTCTTAATGAAAAAATAAACTTGTATCCCCTCCTTCAATTGCCTGCTGCAGAATGTGTCTACGGTGGCTGTAAATGTCCAAACACACTGATACACCAGCAACATTTTGCAAAGATAAACTATTAATTGACCATGTCTTCAGTAGGAACCGATGTGCTTGGAGCTGAGAGACCAACTGAGTCACTGTTGGTTCGAGTTTTCACTGTTGGTTCAAGTTTACTCAAAGAGAAAAACAGAATTATTTACTAGGTGATGATATAAAACAGGACACAAACATACTTACAGAATCTTAGTTTTTCTGTAAAAGCTCTGGTTTCTAACGTAGAACAGCAGCTTGTTACTCAGGTGACAAACAGGTGGGTTTGTATCTCACTGCCTCGCTGATTTTGGCGTTTTGTGATTCGGTTTGTAGAAACAACTCTTCAAACAGCAGCATGACTTACTTTGACATTGACAGAAAACTCAAACTAAATATTGTAATGTAAGAGACATTTCACTGAAACTGTACAAACACGTTTGTCTTGTCATGGTCAGTTTTGTGTTGACTGTTTCCTGCCACCTGCAGAGATCTTTATTAAAATCCATCTGAGATTTTTTAGTTTTTGTACCTGAGTGAAAAACCCGAAGACGTGTTCCTCTGATCTTCACTGAAAACATGAAAAACCTTTCCACACACTTTGGTAACAAGAGTTCAGCTTCCTATAGCAGCATGAAAACAAAAATCAACTTCTGATTGACTCGTTAATAAAAGTCACAGAGATGAATAGCCACCTGAGAGTAGCAGCTTTCAAATACTAGTCAAACTAAAAACTGTTTTGTTTTTGTTTTCTCCCTGCCACTGAATACTTGAAATCAGAGTGATGTGTTCAGGGTTGTCTTTAAACCAGGAAATCTAAGTTTAATGTGGATCCCAAGCAACTGGCCACAGTCCTGAGCTTATTACAGACAGCTATTACATATGCTGAACTACACCGGTGTAACCAGTCCAGGTTTGACCATTTAATAGCACTGCAGTAACAAAAGGTGGCAGCTGTCATCGCTCCACTGGACAAAAGCATAAAACCTAGCGCATCTACACCAAAAGCACAGTGTCTAACATTTTGCTTGCACATTGCAGGAGATTTGTACTTGTGTGCTTGGTGTACGACAACACACAGGAGCCTACAGAGACACTTTGGAAAAGGGAAAACTACAGTCCAGCACTTGGACAGACAATTGCTGGCTACACTTGCATGTACACAGTCAGTACAATAAGTTTTATGTTGAACGCATCTTAAAATGGATTTTAAAAAATTTCCTTATCAATCTACATAGAATGCTTCAGAATGATAAAGTGAAAACAGGTTTTTCGAGTGTTTTGTTATTTATTTATTAGAAATAAAAGACTGAAATATCCCATTTACATCAGTATTCAGACTCTTCACTTACGCAGTCTGGTTGGGTGACCAGCTCTAGGAAAACTGGTGCTGGTTCTAGATCTCTAGAGCAGGATGCTCCAGAGCTCAACTGCAAGTGTCATAACAAAGGGTCTGAATACTGATGTAAATGGGGAAAGTCCAGTCTGTTATTTGTAATAAAAACACTTAAAGCCTGTTTTCACTTTGTCATTGTGGAGTATTGTGTGTGGACTGATGAGAAACAAAATGAATTGAGTCCATTTTAAGATGTCTGAAACATTAACTGTAAAACTTGGAAGGGTCTGAATACTTCCCATACTGTCTATGTATAGTGTATCCAAAGCAAACTTTAAAAAGAACTGCATCTTTGGTAGGACTGATGTACCACATGGTAGGTCATGTGTTTTACTGGGTTTTTATTTTGAAGTATTTCTCTGTTTTGGTGGAGTTCTGGTTGCAACTTAGGGAGCTGTCAAGGTTGTGGTGGATTCTGTGGAGTGTTTTAGGCCACAGCGCTGAAAAAATAGACCTGAAGCTAAAAACAGGCCTCAGTTCGCAGCTAGGTACGTAAAGTGTGTGATCTGCCAGTGTGGGCCGCTGAACTGGTTATTATAGCATCTTATGGGTGAGATGCATCTCAAAAACACGTCTTCCGCTCACATACAGGACTGTAGTTCTACATTTGGATCTGCTTTATCCAGGCTGATACCGATCCTGTGAAATGTACCCGGATCAGCGCCGATACTAACCATCAGACCCAGACATCTCTACTCTGCATGGTTAAATATATTCATTTTATTTTCTGGAAAAAAAGTTATTTCACCCTGGCACCGGGCCTGAGTATTGGTAATACTAGTAGTGGTCATTTCAACCAAAGGGTGGGTTTGCATAGGTGAAGTGGGTCTTTCTTGAGATCTGCAGTGGTGCTTGAGAAATCTGGTTTGCCACATAGTGGCGCACAGTCTGCAAAGTTTGAACCCGCTGATCTAAGCAGAAGTAAGGTCAGCGTTTTCATGTTGCACTGTTGGCATTTCTGAGGTGCATCACCGTTACCATCACCATTGTGGGTAACTTGAGCCATCATGACCTGAAAAGACAAAATAACACTACTTTTGAAACTACAGTGCTGTGAAGTCTGGATTGATGCCAGGTAAATTAACTGGGCATAAATGTGGCTGGAACTCATCAAGATGGTTATTGATTTCATGAAAGGATATGCTGAAGCTAAAACAGGGTGTGGCATGCTTAAATCAACCCTTGTATCGACATATGTTTTGGCATCATTTTTCCTCTACACCTCATCAACATATATCAATTCATATATATGCTGTCACTCAGCCAGTGAGCAATTTGAATCAAAGGTTACTTGTTTCAGCAGACAAGCTGCCACAGCTTCAACACACTGGAGTTCATAGTTGTTTTCTGTTTGACAACACGAGTAGCTGTTAGCTTGTTTACCAGCGTTACCATCTTCATCTCATTCTGTTTAACTCAGGTTTGTGTACATCTTTGTCACATGATCAAGCTCAGGATGAGTTTTGGCTTTAAAACAAACCCTCATCACTGTCTGTAGCGTTCAGTGCTGATAAATCCAATTTGTTTCTTCTGAGGCGAAACCGACGGCCTGTCCAACCGTCTCCTCGATGCAGTCTGACTGATTGGGCAGGCTCAGGGGAAGGGGCGTGTGCTTGGTGTCCTTGGCACCAGAGGTTAGCTGGTGGTGACAGCGACGAATCCCAGCGTTGGTACAGAGGATGAGCGCGCTGGCCAGCAGGGCCGCGCCGCTAAGGTAGAAGGTGGCTGTGTAACTTCCTGTGATGTCGACCAACCAACCTGCAGACAAGAGAATCATTTTGGTTGTGAAGCAGCATGACAAAACTTTTCCTTTTAAGTTTTAATATAAAAATACTTTTTTAGGACCATAGAGAGAATCTGTTGCGCTGCCTTTTAACATCCTTTAAAATAACTTTACACTAATTTTTGCTATGTAAGCCAAAGAAAATCTTAAATTTATTTCAGTGGAATTATATATTTTCCTTAATTTTTTAAACTAGTTTAACACCTACTGTGCATTTGGTATCAGTGCGACTCCATACATCTAATTCATTCATGGTGTCACTTGACTAGTGCATTCCCCAAAATAAATCTAGTTGCCTGAGCACCTTTGAAGTTCTGACTTTCATCTACTAGGGTTTTCCTGTGTTTAAAGCACAAATAAAGATTTGTCCCAGTTCTACCTCAGTTGCAGATAAAAGTGTTTGCTTCTTGTACGCTGAGCATTTGAAGATACCAGCTCTGCCCTTTGCTCATGTCAGACATCACACCATTTATATAAGGAGGCCTGTAGGAAGCTGTTATCTTCTGCTGAGGCTTCACAAACCAGCTGTTGTTTCACTGTGTTGGCTAATCAGGCTTTTCAACATGCATCCATAATCCTCCATCAGTTTTGAGACTGACCACTTTGAATAAACTAGCCTGCAGAAACACAGCCCTGCTGTGTTTCTTTATCAGAGCTGTGTTTGTGGGTGAGCTGTGATGTGTTCAAGCAGCATCTGAAAAACGAACATCACACTGACTAGCTCTGTTACAGAATCAAACCCAGAAGACGCAGCAGCGGCAGAGAGCAACGACTGGGCCTGAACAGCTAGAAAAACAAAAAGGCAGACGCCGTGGATTCCACATGGACTTCAGTAATGGACCCAAGCAATGATTTGTACAAGCTGCTTAGCGTAGCTGACCTTAGCATAAACAGCCAGTGGTTTCTCCACAGATATCCACAGGTCTAAAGCTCAATGAGTGACACTGATGAACTGTTAAATGATGGGTTGTTTAATGTGAACAAGATCTTACAAATGAAAATATGGTGCTTAATAGTGGGTTTATTCTGCAGCCTGTTTCAGGAAACCAGCAGACACCGCAGGAAGTTACTGGTCCAAGAAACAGTTGGATCCGTAACTACCGCTGCACTACATTCAGGGAAAAAAGGGAACATCAGAGTCCTTGAACACAACACTTTCTGTATGGGAAGCCCATAAACTTAAAATCATTTCTGGACATAATTTGGCATCAGGAGAGTAAATCATCAGTGTGGGAGGTTGATTCCTCACCTCCAATGGGCGGGCTGATGAGGTAGGGGATGCCATGCAGGAAGTAGACCACTCCCAGTGCCGAGGATAGGTATGTGGCCCCTACCACGTCTGACGTCACTACAGGAATCAGAGCCACGTAGGCGCCGTCGAAGTAACCATAGAGGACGGCAAATGGAACAAGGAGTGGGAAGGATCGAAGCAACGGAGTGAAGAGGCAACAGAGACCCTCCATCCCCACAGAGAAGATGTAACAGGCCAGACGGTATGGCTTTAAACATCTGTAACACAGAGAGGGTTTATTAAAACCCTGGCAACATGCAGGGTTGCTGCAGGACTTTGGAAGCCTTTAAAAGCATCAATTTCTGTTTCCTCAAAAGGCCTTTTTTTATATTTATTTTATTATGACATTTTAACTGGTTCATAAATCTATCTTTCCATTTCAGCTGCATTCCCAGGTCTTGTTTATTGATTAAATAATTACATTATTGGGAGGATCCAGGAAATATTGTGAAATGACTTTACTTCACATTGGACATGTTAGTTCTAGGTGGTTTCTTTGCTGTTGGTTCATACTTACTCAGGTCAGTATGACCCTGACATAGGGCTTAGGGTCAGGAGTAGCACTAAGGCCTGTCATGTGGATGCAGCCCAGCTGCTGATAAATTATAAAGATGTGCAGACATGTGATCTTGTGTTGCTGCGACCGGCTCCTGTACGGTTCAGGTCGTACCTGTGGTCTGTCAGCCAGCCAAAGGTGATATTCCCCACGATGTCGAGGACTCCCAGGATGGACATGAGGAAGGCGGCGGACTGGTGGGTGACGCCAGTGCTCAGAGCGTAGGGCACAAGGTAGACAAAGGGGAGACTGCAGCCGGCGGCCAGGAACAGGAAGGATACAGCCAGGCCCAGAAAGTCCGGGAGCAGCAAGAAACTGTACTCCTTACTGGACGGGAAGCAGGAAGTGAAGCACCACCGCCTTTTCAGGTGAGGGGCGGGGGTTGCTAGCAGCAGGGGCAGTGATGGTGACTTGCTTGATGTCAAAAGGCTGTTCTCAGAGTCTTTGGCGAGATTTGCTGCAGGAAGAGACAATGAAATTTCTGGTTCAGGGTCCATGATTATGGCAGAAATGCTTAGTGATACTGTATTAAGTTTATTTATGTTAAGTACAATACATTCATTTTAATAAAACTTAGGTTTTATCAATTATAGTCAAACAATATTGTGATTTTTTTTTCATGGTTTAGTAACAATCTCCTCAAAAATCAAATGGTTTTTCAACAATCACACACACTTCCTGTTTTGTTTTGTTTTCCTGACACCCCCTCTCCTGAGAAAACTGACTGACACCACGGTTTTCAAATTGAAATATGTCAGTATTTTCTACTTGTTGCTGGAAAGGACAAAGCTTTAGTATAAACTTCCACCACATCCAGTCTGAAGGTCCACAGCATGTTCCACTACCTGAGTCAGACCCAGATGGCCTCGGCTAAAGAGAAGTGCTAATGTCTCCATGAAACACAAGCAGCAAAAGACGGATCTGCAACTCCCGATGACGGTGAAACCTGACATGTGGCTTTACTGGGCTGGCTGCAACAGGAAAAGGGGATTTTGTTGCTACACAAAGTCAGCTTGTGAGTAGGACATATTTTTTGGCAGCACCTGTGACAGCACTGGAGTGGACTACGTTGTTGACCAGTCATGATTAGCATGAGAAATTGTCTGAGATGTGTAGGTGAGCTCTGATGCGTCTTCTAGGGCAGTTTTACCTCTTATTACACCATATTTTGGGGTTGATTTGCAAGAGTAACAGTATGTAACACACAAGTGGCAAGTTTGGTCCTTGGTAATTTTGTAACATTACTTTTAATGAGCAGTAATATGTGGAGCAGGAGTACTATTAGTAGTGGTGTAATAGTACTGTGGATAGTATCAGTACTCACAGAAGCCAGTGTGATAATACTCACGATGTCTCGCCTCCCCTGTTGGCTCCTCCTCGTCTTCCTGCAGTGTGATGGGTCGAAGCAGCGCCCCACAGACACACAGGTTGCTGACAAAGGCGCTGAGGACGAGCAGCGCCCCCCTCCATGAGTACACCTCGATGAGCAGCTGCACGAGCGGGGCCAACACAAAAGTCCCGATCCCGCTGCCGGACAGGGCAATCCCATACGCCAACGCCTTCCTTTGCCTGAAGTAACAACCGACCATGGCAATGGCCGGGGTGTAGCAGAGAGCGAAGCCGAGACCTGGAAATACGATGTTTGACAAAGTGAGGATGATGTTTTTGGAAAATTAGGTACACTTTTGGGATGGTGACAATATACTGTATTTAAAAAACAAACATCTTTTGAAAAGTGGGGACACTTTAGAAAGTGAAGACAGCAAGAGAGTTTTTTTTTTTTTTGGAAAATCAGGACATTTTTAGAAACAATATATGAGTGTCACAGCAAAGGGTCTGAATACTTGTGACCATGTGATATTTCAGTTTTTCTTTTTTAAATAAATCTGCAAAAATGTCAAAAATTCTGTGTTTTTCTGTCAATATGGGGTGCTGTGTGTACATTAATGAGGAAAAAAAATGAACTTAAATGATTTTAGTATATGGCTGCAATATAACACAGAGTGAAAAATTTAAGGGGGTCTGAATACTTTCCGTACCCACTGTATGTGAACTGAGGGCAGTGTAGACCCTTTCTGGTAACATTTAATGTGTGCTGACCTGTGAGGACGCCCAAGCTGAAGTAGAGGAGCTTCATGCTGGTGATGAAGGAGCTGAGGAGGAGGCCGCAGGATGAAAGGAGTCCCCCCAACATCACCGCCACCCGGCAGGACCAACGGTTACTGACCAGGCTGCCAACAGGAGCTGCAGACATACACAGATGTGAGTACATGGTGCTGCTGCTGCCCCCTGCAAGCTGGAGGGTGCACTGCAGCCACAACGTGAACAGCGTCCTTCGAACATTACTGTAGAACAGGTTCCATTATTACAAAATCTAATGCTACTCTAGTAACGCTTTTACCACCTTCACTACTTAAAGTGTCACTTTCAGCTTCTTCCTATTAGGGGTCACCACATCGAATCGTCACACTGACAATTCGCATGTTGACATTTGGCATGTGTTTTACGCCGGATGCCCTTCCTGACGCAACCCTGACTCAAACCTGGACCGCAGCAGTCGCCCTAACCACTAGTCTATCAGGGAACTACTTAAAGTATACTCTTATTTTTAGTGATACTATAATACTGCTTGTTTGAGTACTGCTTCTGGCAATTCTGTTTTGAACAACTTATACTATTACTAACTGTAGTACTACTGTAGTAAAAGCACTTCAACCACTACTTGGCCCATTGTATTGCTCTAGAATTACTCCCATCAACTGTAGCACTAGTGCAGTAAAAGCCCTACTGGCTTGGGGGCTTGCACCATTACTGGTCCCTGCGGTACTACTGCTGTGTACTCCAGCCAGGTACTGCAGTACTGACCACAGATCATGGTGGTGCAGTCCACCAGGCTGTGGATCCAGGCTGTAGCAGAGTAGTCAGCTCCAAAATGAGCCTGAAACTCCACGAAGAAGATGGAGATGCACCTGCGGACACACACAGGAGGTAAAGTACACACCAGGTAGTGATTACTGACCAGTTATTGGCGATTTTT